TCAGATTTTTGGGACACCTTGTATAAAGTGAGTGTGGGGATACTGCCTAAACAACTAAAGTTATCCCAAAGGGGAAAGAACTGTCTTGATAGGTAGTGAGTACCTCATCAATGGCACTCTCCAAGTGGAAGCTAAATGCCTATATATGACAGGGATGTTGAGGGGACTCCTGCTCATATATAGGTTGGACTTGAGCACCTCTGAGGTCCCTTAGAATTCTGAGGTTCCATGCTTCCATGAGTCTACAAGATAAGGTCTGGAAATTAAGAAAATGCTTTCTGCTGGTGGGGAAGGCAGAGGGCTCTGAGTCAGAAACTACTAAGAATTCTGAAAATAATAAGTGCTAAAAATCCTTTAGAGAAAATAAGAATTCTTGGTAAGAACTATGGCATTCAATAGGTAAAATTCTAATGGTCAGCATGCCTTCAGGCTGACCTTTTTGTTCCTAAACAAAAGGTTTTGGTCTACTGGGGTCTTTTCATGTGTTGGAACACATCTCCAATTATATAATTGAGAACATCATATTCACTGTACAGAAATTCTCCAACTTTCCCAAAATATATCAATTTTTAAAAAAATAATTAATGTTAGTTTTGCCTATTCCCACCCAAATAATGCAATTTAACCATATTGCTGAAATATAACAGCAGCACAGAAAATCCAAAACCACCAAGAATTCAAAATTCACTTCTATTTGGCTTTGAAATGTAGCTTAAGAGTACTTTTTCTTTTGTCTTTTTATCTCCAGTGCCCAGCATAGTGCTTTGCACATAGTAGCTGTTTGTTGGTTTGGACGAGATTTCACCAGGTTCATTCTTCTCCTGAGTCAATATTAAAATGCTGTTCTTTGTCCTGAGCACACAATGGCAGCCCAGAAGCATACCTGGGGTCAGAGACAACCAACCTAGGAATGGAAAGGCTAATGACAATCCACCAAGCTGCTGTCGCACCAAAGATATAATTCCCACATGGAAAAAGGAAAGGTTGCTATCTACTCTATATCTTAGATGTGCCTATTTATGTATATGTTATCTCTCCCCATTAGAATGTAAGCTTCTTGAGGGCAGGAATATTTTTTTTTATTTTTCCTTACATCCCTAGGTCTTAACACAATGCCTGTCACATAAAAGACACTTAAATGCTTTTTGATTGAATGATTCATTTAGATCCATTTTGTAATCCAGCCTCTCATTAGTCCTAATGACAAAAGACTAGACAGAGCTGGGGAAGGTGTTGTAATGAGTACTTAGCACCTGAGGGCCCATCCTCTACTAGGTGCTGTGTAGAATAGGTCCCATTTAATCTATGAACCTAGAACATCAGAAAGATCCAGACAAAAAAGTGGAAATGCCCAGGGCTGGGGATGAGAAAAATGAATTTGATAATAGACTTAATTAGCCAGTGCAGTGGATCCAGAAAACCACTGGGAGAAGAGGATGCAAGTAACTCCAGATTCAAAATTTTGAGGTTCTATCTCTGTCTCTGCCTCTTTCTTTGTCTGTGTGTCTGTCACACACACACACACACACACACACACACACACACACACACACGCACACACGCACACACGCACACACGCACATGGATCAGAATGAATTAAAATTCTCCCTCCTTCCAGAACAACTGACCTTTGACATCCAGACGGAAGGTGACCTTCTGGCCCCCGGCCTCACAGGTGTACTCCCCAGCATCTGCCTTCCCCCGCCTGCTGCACCACCAGCTGCCGGCCCTGGCCCTTGGCCTCCACATGCACCTTCTGGCTGGAGCTGAGTTTCTTCCCATCCTTGTACCAGGTCACCTCTGTCTGGGTCTCAGCCACCTCACAGCTCAGGATAGCATTGCTACCGGCCACGGTCTCCACTTTGCTCTGAGTCTGTTGCTCCTTGGCAAACACCACCACAGATTCTGGAAAAAGGATGAACACACAGGGTCAAAGACATACCACACAGGGCACTAATTCACTTTCCAGAAACTCAATGAGTAATTTTTAGTCCAGATGTTAGACTCTGGCACCCTCTGGTGAAGTGTGAGATTACAGCTGGCTCTGTTAGATGTATTTAAACAAGAGAAGACACAAGAAAGAGTTAAGTTCTAAAACTGAAAGTGTAGGATAAGAGAGAACCCCTGACGTGATAAGTTTTCCCAAAAGCTGTTGGGAGGAGCACAGTGAAAATTCCAGAGCCAAGAGTACACTACAGAAGTCTTAAAAGGTTTCAAATTAAAAATGAATGGCCAGTAGCAACAACCATCAAGCTTTCTGTTCTGTACAATGAGAGGCAGTTTAATTAAATAGTCAAGGTCCCTTCCTGTTCTGACATTCTAAGTTCTATGTTTAAATACACCCCCCAGGGGCAGCTAGGTGGTATAGCGGATAGAGCACCAGCCCTAGATTCAAGAAGACCTGAGTTCAAATTCAGCCTCAGACACATGACACTTAGTAGCTGTGTGACCCTGGGCAAGTCACTTAACCCTACTGCCTAACCAAAAAAAAACACAAAAAACCGACAACAAAAAAATAAATAAATAAATAGATAGATAGATAAATGAATACCCCCCCAGCTCTAATATTCCATGTTCTAAGATCCCTCCCAGCTCTAACATTCCATGTTCTAAGGTCCTTTCTAGACATTCTATGCTATAAGGTCTCTCCCAGTTCTAACCTTCCATGTTCTGGGTCACTTCTACCTCTGACATTCCATGTTCTAAGGTCCCTCCTAGATGATAACATTCCATGTTCTAATGTCTCTCCTAGTTCTAACATACCATGTACTTAAGGTCACTTCCAGCTAACATTTTAAGTTATATGTTCCAACATCTCTTCCAGCTTTAATATTCTATGTTCTAAAATCTCTCCCTGCTCTGACATTCCAAGTTCTATGTTCTTATGTCCCTTCCAAAACTAACACTGAATGTTCTAAGGTCACTTCTAACTCTTATAGAAATGCTCTATGTTCTAAGCTCTGACATTCCATGTTCTGTCTACGTTTAATAGGCAGAACATCATCTAGCATGCTGAGATGATTTCCTCTCTTAACCTTGTCCTTAAAATCAAAAATTTAAATGATTTCTAAGGAAATCTATTGTTGTTGTTTAGTTATTTTCAGTTGTGTCCACCTCAGTGACCCCATCTAGGGTTTTCTTGGCAAAGATACCAGAGTGGTTTGTCATTTCCTTCTCCAGTTCATTTTACAGAGGAGGAAACTGAGGCAAACAGGGTTAAGCAGCTTGCCCAGGGTCACGTAGCTAAGAAGTGTCTGAGGCCACATTTGAACTCAGGAAAATGAGTTTTCCTGACTCCAGACTCAGTGCTCTGTCCCCTAAGCCACCTAGCTGCCCTAATGAAATCTAATGATTTCTGTTTCTGTTTTGTTTTGAAGTATGAGAATGCATGCCTGATTTTATCATAGGAGGCAGTTGGAAAGGACTCACTTTACAGAAAGCCTCCAACTTTCCTTTACCCCATCTTTCCCACATATCCAATCAGGTGCCAGGCCTTATTGATTTTACCTCTACACCATCTCTCCCATCGGATCCCTACCTTTCTGCTTCCAAAGCCACCAGCCTCGTCTAGGCCCTCATCACCTCTTATAGAGACCCTCTTTCAAATCCATCCTCCTTACGGCTCTGAAACTGATTTTCTTGAAGCTCAGGCCCTCCCAGGTCACTCCTCTACTTAATAAATTCCAGTGGCTCTCTATTACCTCTGAAATAAAACACAGATTCTCCTGGCATTCAAAGCCCTTCACAACTGGCCCAGCTAGTGATATGCTTGGAACACAACCGGGTTCTCTGGGAAAAGAAATGTACACATGATCCAACTTTTACTTTAAACTGTGTCATTAGCATTTCCTCCATCACCTTTTAAATCAACAAAACAGTAAATCAAGTCCCGATTTTTGGCAGTTGCCAATTTCCAAGGCGTAATCACTCACCTTGAAAACGTAGCAACTGGCTTTCACAAGTCAATTCGAGCTGCTGCCTCCAGCACACCCTTGGCCACAGCCTGTTCCTTCCACCTTTTCTACGGTATTCCCCTTCATTCATTCTACAGTTGTCTCTTATCTCCATGGCTTTCATTTGGCTATCTATCCCCCAAACTGGAAGGCTCTTCTTACTCTTGCTTCTTAAAATCCCTCACTTTCTTGAAAATTCAACTCAATCTTTACCCTCCCTATGAAGCTCTCCCTGATGCATCCCCATAAACCACTAGTGCCTCTGTTCCCCTGCCCCCAATTATCTTGTATCTATTTTTTTTATATTTTACATGTGCAGCCCTCCTCTGGCAGAATGTAAGCCTCCAGAGGACAGGGACTGTTTCTGTCATCCTAGTACCTAGCATAGTTCCTGGAACATAGTAGGCACCTAATGAATGTCTGTTGATTGATTGATTAAGCAAACAATGCATGTACTTCGGCTTTCCTGATCTGTTTTGCACGAAGACTATAGCAACTGTGCGTCTAGAGCCGGGCCTCAGTTAGTCTATGGTCCCTTCCTCCAACCTCCTACAATCAAGGCATCAGAGACCTCAAAACAATGAGATAGGATGAACAGAAGAGACAATGCAGATGACTTATTGATAAGGGTTCCTAGGATGCAGAGCTAGAAAGAACATTAAAGATCACCATGTCTGACTCTTTTATTGTACAGATGAGGAAACTGAGGTCCAAGGTCCAGAAAAATGGCAGCTCTATAACCAAAGTTTTAGATGCAATAAGAGGCAGGGCTGAGATTTGAACTCACATCCTCTGATTGTAAATCCAGTGTGTTCCTTCCACTGCACCATAAGAGGACAGGTGGAAAAACCATAGGGTGAAGAGACATTAGCAGTCCCAGAGTTTCTAGATTATAGTTAAACCTTCCAACTCATGCATGGAGCTATGTCCCTCCTCCCCCAAGACACACACAAACACATATGCACACACATGTACAACTGTAACAGAAAGCATTATAATTTCCCAATGTAGAAAATGCTGACCTTTGACATCCAGATGGAAGGTGACCTTCTGGCCCCCAGCCTCACAGGTGTATTCCCCAGCATCTGCCTTCCCTGCCTGCTGCACCACCAGCTGCCGGCCCTGGCCCTTGGCCTCCACGTGCACCTTCTGGCTGGGGCTCAGTTTCTTCCCATCCTTGTACCAGGTCACCTCTGTCTGGGCCTGGGCCAGCTCGCAGCTCAGGGTGGCACTACTACCGGCCACCGCTTCCACCTTGTTTTGTGTCTGCTGTTCCTTGGCAAACACCACTGGGGGTTCTGGGAAAATCACAAACATAGGGTCAAAGACACTCTGCTCAGGGCACTGAGTCACCTTACCAAAACCAAAATTTGGAGGTGAGTAATTTGCTGTTAAAGGACAAGGCCCCAGCCCAGGTCTATTAGATGCTTTAAATAAATATAGTAATTGCTGAGGACCAGCTTAGCAAAATTCAGAGGGGTTCATCATCAGAAGACTGGGCATAGAATGATGAAATTAGAGGGCCACATCAATTTCTGAAGACCATTTCCTAAGGTGAGGGAGGTAATTGCCCAGGAACTGACCTTTGATGTCCAAGTGGAAGGTGACCTTCTGGCCCCCGGCCTCACAGGTGTACTCCCCAGCATCTGCCTTCCCCGCCTGCTGCACCACCAGCTGCCGGCCCCGGCCCTTGGCCTCCACGTGCATCTTCTGGCTGGGGCTCAGTTTCTTCCCATCCTTGTACCAGGTCACCTCTGTCTGGGCCTGGGCCAGCTCACAGCTCAGGGTGGCGCTGCTACCAGCCATGGCCTCCACCTTGTTCTGAGTTTTCTGTTCCTTGGCAAACACTACCAAAGATTCTAGAAAAGCATAGGCAAAATACACAGGAGTCAGAGATACAGCCCACAGAGCACTAATTCACTTTCCAGAAACTGACATTTTGTAGGTGAGTAATTTTTAGACCAGAGTAAAATATTAGACACTGGTACTCTATATAGAAATTGAGACTATAATTTATGAACCAGACTATTATTATTTGCAGACAAAAGGGGCAAAAAAAGATAATTATTCTCATTTACACAGCACTTTAAGGTTTATAAACCACTGTCCTAACTATACCCCCACTGCAACGCCATTTTACAGATGAGAAAATGAAGGCTCAGAGATGCTTGTAAGTATAAAAGCCAGGATCTGAATCAATGCCTTCTGAGTCCAAGTCCATAGCACCTTTTGTAACAACTCTAGGGATTATAAAAGCATGATCAAGGGTATCCTTTGTTTCAGGAGAATTTCCTCTAGACTGGTGGGAATAGCCCACAAGATATGCTAAGGCTACCCTTTGACCCAGCAATAGCACTTCTAAGGCTGTATCCCAAAGAGACGATAAAAAAATGGGGAAAAGACCCACATGTACAAAAATATTTACAGCAGCTCTTTCTGTGGTGGCAAAGAATTGGAAATTGAAGGGATGCCCATCAACTGGGGAATGGCTGAACAAGCTGTGGCATATGAATGTAATGGAAAACTATTGTGCTATAAGAAATGATGAGCAGGCAGAAAAACCTGGAAAGACTTGTATGAACTGATGCTGAGTGATGTGAGTAGAACCAGGAGAATGTTGCAGACAGTAACAGCCACGTTGTGCGATGACTAACTTTGAAAGACTTAGCTTGTCTCAGCAATGCAAGGATCTAAGACAACTCCAAAGGACCCATGATGGAAATTGCTGTTCACATCCAGAGAGAGAACTGTGGAGTCTGAATGCAGATTGAAGCACAGTATTTCTTCTCTCTTTTTCCTTTCTCATGGTTTTTCCCTTTGGTTCTAATTCTTCTTTACAACATGACTAATGTGTCTTTTAAGCACCAAGCAGGGAATACCCTTCCCTACCTAGCAATCTGCCTAATCCAGGGGTAGGAAACCTGTGGCCTTGAGGCCACATGTGGCCTTCTAAGGCCTTGGGTACAGCCTTTTGACTGAGTCCAAGTTTTACAGAACAGGTCCTTTTATTAAGGGGATTCGTTCTGTGAAGTCTGGATTCAGGCAAACGATCACACTTGTGGACCCTAGAAGGCCATATGTAGCCTGGAGGCCTCAGGTTCCCCACCCTTGCCCTAAACACATTGATCCCAGAATCTACCTCTGAGCCAGAGAATGGAGATTTCTTGGGTAGCACCACCCTTTGGAGTTGCCTCATGGGTAACTGACTTCCAGAGTTCCTGAGCTCAGAGGAAGATTTTCACAACACTGTAGTGTTCTTCTTAAAGAAAGAAGAGAATGACCAACAGAGGCTCAGGCTGCAGCCCTAAGGTTGCACTCAAGCTGTGCTATGGTGAGGAAGATGCAAGAAACCTGGACCCTCCTAATTCTGATACTGCTGCGAGTTCCTTGGACAGTGAGGGCTCCTGCAAAGGGGACTGGTGGGTTGTCCAGCAGTTCTGCAAAGTGATTCACTTTAGAGGAGCAGCTGATGGGCTATCTGAGGGCTTTATTTGTTTCTGCATCCGTGCATGGGCTGCTGTTTTCCCAAAGCCAGCATCTATATTGTGGGCCTTGGGGCTGTCAGGGGCCCTGGTATCCATATTTAGGGAAATCTAAACATAAGCTATACCTAAAATTTATTTTGGAAATTTTCCTGGAGTAAAACTCTGGGGTGGGGACATAATGAGCCAAAGAAAGAAACCAGGTGTCTTCTGATTATGCCTCTAGGATTAGACCTGGTCAGTGTGAGGCCAGAGTCAACAGAGGATATTGGGTCCCAGGTGACAATAGGATTTTGAGCTGGAAGGGACCTCAGAAATAATAATAATAGTAACTAACAATTATATAGCACTTTAATATTTGCTAAATGCTTCATGTATGTGATGTCATTTGATTTTTCACAACAACCCTCTGAGGTAGATGCTATTATTATCCCCATTTTTTTTTTTGCTGGGTTTCTTTTTTTTTTTGGTGAGGCAATCAGGGTTAAGTGACTTGCCGAAGGTCACATAGCTAGTAAATGTTCAGTGTCTGAGGCTGGATTTGAACTCAGATCCTCCTGACTCCAAGGCCAGAGCTCTATTCACTGAGCCACCTAGCTGCCCCTATTATCACCATTTTACAGAAAAGGAAACTGAGGTTGTTTGCAATCCAAATTCTTCACTTCACAAAAACCAAAGCCCAAGTACCAAGTGTAGTTCACACACACACACACACACACACACACACACACATGCCCGTGAATCAGAAGGCATTCTACTCCCTGACACCCACAGCAGCTGACCTTTGACTTCTAAGCAGAAGGTGACCTTCTGGCCCCCGGCCTCACAGGTGTACTCCCCAGCATCTGCCTTCCCCGCCTGCTGCACCACCAGCTGCCGGCCCCGGCCCTTGGCCTCCACATGCACCTTCTGGCTGGGGCTCAGTTTCTTCCCATCCTTGTACCAGGTCACCTCTGTCTGGGCCTGGGCCAGCTCACAGCTCAGGGTGGCGCTGCTACCAGCCACGGCCTCCACCTTGCTCTGGGTCTGCTGCTCCTTGGCAAATATTTCCTTTGATTCTGGAGAAGGGAGGAACACAAAGTTTCAAAGAGGAGGCAATGAGATATAGTGGAAAAAACTCTAGCCTTTGGGTCAGAAGACTTGGGTTCAGACCTTGCCTCTATAACTGACTTTCTGTATAACCTTAGACAAGTCACTTAACCTTGCCTGTATCTGGGCTCCCTCATCTGTAAAGTGAGTGAGTTGGACCAGATGACCTCAACAGACCCTTCTGGTTCTAAATCTATGATCCTGGTGTCCTAGAACCACAAGGGTAGCATTGCATGGATCTGCTAATGTGGCAGGAATTCCCGATCGACTGGTAGGAAGAACATAGAGGGGATTCCAGAGCCAGGAATTCACTACAAAATTCTAAAAATGTTGAAAAGATGGGGGCACCAATTAGTCAAAGTAACTGCTCAGTTTACAGTGAGGTGGAGAAGGTGTGGACTAGAGAATGTGTAAAATCCCTTTCAGTGCTCACACTGTGATCCTACATCCAGTCTCAGAGACACTGGTGTTGTATGGTGCTCAGAACGTGAGGGGACTGGTTGTCATTTGAGTCCCTTTATTACCAAAAGCCTTAACTCAATGGGCTTGCGTGTGTGTGTGTGTGGTGTGTGTGTGTGTGTGTGTGTGTATTTGTCTGATTTATTGGGTGTTGTTAGGAAAACTGAATTTGCTTTATAGAAAAACTACAACTTTGGCCACATTTGTTCCAAAAAGCAGAGAATGTGTGTACATTAGTTATGCCAATTCATTTTGCATTCAGGTTAGAGCAAATGATGACTTTTATTCCAGGACATGGTCCCCTCTAGTCTTATGACCTGTATGGGAGGCAGCATGATAGAGCAGATAGGACACTAGACTTGGAGTCAGGAAGACCTGGGTTCAAATGCAGACACTTACTGGCTGTGTGACCCTGCCTCACTTAACTCACCTATAAATTGGAGGGACTGGACTCATTGGCCGCCAAGGTCCCTTCTGACTCTTCTTGTATGTTCCTATGTCCCTTCCCTCCCATGTCCTCACAACCACGGCATCAAAGCCAGGTCAACAATGAGGAAAATAACCAGATCAGGGAAAGAAGAAAGTGACTCTAATAACAGACTGAATGACCTGAGAGAGGTCAAGAAAAACATACAAAGAACAACAAACAGCCCCAGAGTTTCCTCTAGGTTAAACACACACACACACATACATGTACATACAATGCACACATACATACATATAGACACATACGTGTACACCTGTGCAGACATACCTGCACATGTATGCACACACCTACACATTCTACTCCCTGACACCCACAGCAGCTGACCTTTGACTTCTAAGCGGAAGGTGACCTTCTGGCCCCCGGCCTCACAGGTGTACTCCCCAGCATCAGCCTTCCCTGCCTGCTGCACCACCAGCTGCCGGTCCTGGCCTTTGGCCTCCACATGCACCTTCTGGCTGGGGCTCAGTTTCTTCCCATCCTTGTACCAGGTCACTTCTGTCTGGGCCTCAGCCACCTCACAGCTCAGGGTGGCGCTGCTACCAGCCACGGCCTGTACCTCGTTCTTCGTCTTCTGCTCCTTGGCAAATACCACCACAGATTCTGAGAAAGGGATGAATACATGAGGCCAAAGACACATCACAGTCAATGTGTTACCTTCCAGAAAGTGAAGCTTTGGAAGTCAGTCATTTTTTTGTTGGAGTACCCTGAGGTTAGACCCTGGCACCTTCTGCTGAAGTGTGAGAGTACAGCTCTGCTCTCTCAGACAAGGCAGGTATTCTGACAGAAGAAGAAAGAGGTGAGCACTAGGAGCGATGAGAGTCACGGGAACCTCATGTGGGAGAATGTCCCAAGGGCTGGTGTAAAGAAATCTGGCAGAGTATACTATAAAGCTCTAAGAAATACCATAAGAGAATGGTATGCTACCAGGAGATACAATTAATATGTTTTCTCCTTTGTAAAATTAGGAGATGGACCTGCTGACCTCTTTAAGCCTTCCCAGTTCTGAGATCCTATGTACTATATTATAGGTATCTAGGCTGTATGATGCCTAGATTGAAGGGCCTGGAGTCAGGAAGACCTGGCTTCAAATCCAGACACTTACTAGCTGTGTGACCCTGGACAATTCACTTAACCTCGCTCAAGGATTCACTATCATATGGCCCTCGCAGCTCTGACACTCTATGAATTTATGACTGCTGTTAACAGGTAGAACATCATTGTCATACTATAATACCCAGCATGCTGCAGAACAGAATACTGTCTTAATTCCTTATAAAAAGTTAGAACACAATGGACTAGGGATTGCCATTCTGTTTTGGGTGTGGCAACACACATCTGGTTTTCTAATGGGAGACAGCAGAACAATTTGACATACTTTATAGAACGACTCCATCCTTGCTTGCGCCCATCAGTTCTATAAAGTCTCTGCTGCTACATTTTTCTAATTTATTCAACATAAGGGCCAACAGAAAACTTGACTCTAGAATATGCCCTCATTTGGTATACGGTTCCTTCCCCTCAGCCTCCCACAGCCATTGCATCAGAGATTTCTAGACGATGGCAGAAGACTGGGGATGCTGAGGCAAAGGGAAGGACGGTGGTGGGGAGGAGTGGAAGGAAGCAGGGTTATTTCTGTGGGACCGAATGCCTGGCAAGGTGTTATGTCAATCAGATGACTGAGCCCATGGAGCCTCTGGACCTACTCACAGCAGCTGTTTCTCTCTCTCTCTCTTCTCTCTCTCTCTCTCTCTGTCTCTCTCTCTCTCTCTCTCTCTCTCTCTGTCTCTCTCTCTCTCCCTCTCTCCCTCTCCCCCTCTCTCCCTCTCCTCCTCTTTCCCCCTTCCCCCTCCTCTCTCTCTCTCTGTCCCTCTCTGCGCTTCTCTTTGTCTGTCTATCTCTTATACATACACACAAACACACACATACGCACACACCTCTCTGAATCAGAAGACATTTTCACCCTGTATCTCAGACAACTAACCTTTGACATCCAGATGGAAGGTGACCTTCTGGCCCCCAGCCTCACAGGTGTACTCCCCAGAATCCTCCTTCCCCACCTGCTGCACCACCAGCTGCCGGCCCCGGCCCTTAGCTTCGAAACGTATTTTCTGGCTGGAACTCAGTTTCTTCCCAACCTTGTACCATGTCACCTCCGTCTGAGCCTCAGCTACCTCACAGCTCAGGGTGGCGCTGCTACCAGCCATGGCCTGTACTTCATTCTTTGTCTGCTGCTCCTTGGCAAACACTGCCACAGACTCTGGAAAAAGGATGAACACAAGAGTCAAAGACCCACCACACAGGAAACTGGTTCACTTCATAGAAACTAAAATTTTTGGAAATAATAATCAGACCAGAGTGCCCTGAGTGACACCTTCTGGTGAAGTGTGATACTGCAGCCCAGCTCTATGAGACAATGAATATTTACATGAGAAAAGACAAGAGCTGAGTTCTAGAAACTCTAAGAATAGGATCAGGGGGACTTCCTAGGCAGGAGAACTTCCTAAGGCTAATAGGATGAGGACAAGAAGAAATCCAGAGCTGTAAATAGCAGAACAATGGAATTTCAGAGGCAGAAAACAACTCAGAGACCATCTAGTACAACCTAGACCTAAAAAATAATCCCTGCTGCAACATAACCAAGAAGTCATCATCCTACCTTTGCTTGAAGACCTCCAGTGAGGAAGAACCCCCAACCTCCCAAGATGGCACCTTCCACTTTTGGATAACTAGTCCTCAGGAACTTGTTCTTTATGTCAAATTCTCATTTATCTCTTTGTGACTTCTACTCATTGTCTCTAGTTCTACCCTCTGGGCTGGGCCCAAATAGAACAAGCCTAATTCTTCTTCCACTTAATGGTCAAAGACAATGATCATATTCCTCATGATTTTTCTCTTTTCCAAGCTAAATAACCCCAATTCCTCCAGCCAGTCTTCATGCGGAATGAACTCAAGGCCATTCACCATCCTAGCTGTCTCCTATGGACTCCTTCTAATTTTATATTTCCTAGAACGGGAAGCCTTGAGCTGAATGCAATACTCCAGATAGTCTGACCAGGGCAGGATATAGAAAGACTACTATCACTTTATTCTTGATAACTATGTTGCTCTTAGCACAGCCCAAGATTGAATTAGCTTTTTTGGCTGCCATGGGATACTGTCAGTTAACTCCTAATGAGCTCTCAGTCCATCAAAATCCCCCAAATTTCTCTCTCATCTCCATCTCCCACACCTTTCTACTCTTGTTCTTGTGAATTTGACTCTTTGAACCCAAGTGTAAGGTTTTATATTTTAAAATGTAATTTACATGACTAAATTACATCATACTAGGTTTAGCCCATGATTCTAGCCTATCAGAATCTTTTTGGACCTTGACTTGGTCCATCCTGTGTGTTCACTATCTCTGCCAGATTTTATCTGCAAATTTTAACTAAGTCATAAATAAAAATATTAAACAGTTCAGGGCCAAACACAGGTCCCTGGATAACTGCTGCCAAAGTGATGTCCAGCCCATACTGGCTATTCTTGGGGTCCTGACGTTCAACTGGGTTTGTCTCCATTTTTTGCACTAACACCTACCTCATATCTCTCCAGCTTTTACGCAGAATATTGAGATACTTCATCAAAAGCTTTGCTAAAATTTCATTTTCCCTCCTCTAGCCCTTCTCCAATCCCTTTTCTGTTTTCTACAATCTTTCAAATTTTGCAGTTGCATCTGCCAGGTGTTTCAGTACCAGGAAAAGTATTTCACCTGGTCAAGGTGATCTGAACTCATCAGAGGCAGACATGTGCTCTCTTTCTGCATCTTTACTAAGTTTTAAAATTCTACTTATTTGATTATTTGTTTATTTATTATCTCTACACCAGCCACTTTGCTCTGTCATTCCCAGTTTGAAGGTAAGTTTCCTTGGCAGAGAATCAAAATAGGATTTGAGCTGCCCTGCGCTCTCTCTGTTGTCAGTTATTACCCCCATCCCCAGAAGCCTCCTGTTTTCCACGGAGCAGCTAAAACAAACAAACAAACAAAAAAAAAAAACAAAAAATTCTTTATTTTGTCCTTAGTGTTCCTTATCAGCTTTATCTCATTGTGAGCTAATGCTATCCACCTCCAGAAAAACAAATGATGAACTCTGAATTCAGACTGAAGCATATTTTTTCCACCTTTTCTTGCCCCCCGCCCCACCCCGGCAAACTAGCTAAAGTGGAAATATTTTGCATGATTTCATATGTATAATAGGTATCATATTTCTTGCCTTCTCAATAGGTAGGGCAGGGAAATAGAGAATTTGGAACTAAAAATAAAAATTGAATTTAAAAATTAAAAAAAACTCATTGTGAGCTTTAGCATACAGTTTGGGTTTGTTTGGGTTTTTTTTGTTTGTTTTTTTGGCAATTGGGGTTAAGTGACTTGCCCAGGGTCACACAACTAGTAAGTGTCCAGTGTTTGGTCTGAGGCCAGATTTGAACTCAAGTCCTCTTGATTTCAGGGCCGATGCTCTATCCACTGCGCCACCTAGCTGCCGCTAGCATACAGTTTTTATGGTAATATTCTCTAGTCATCCTTTATTACAGGCCTTTGCTTCCATCTTTTATATATGGGTTCTCATCACCTAAGGTGTTTGGAGAGCTCCCTGGACATCCACATTAGCCTCTTCAGTGCTTAGCGTAGTGACTGGCACATAATAGATGCTTACTACATAAATATTTATTATATAAATACAAAATAAATGCTTATTGGCTGACTGACAACTCCCCTTTTCATTTCAAGTATTTCTGTGTCTTCAGAATTTTGCTCTTGAAGGCTTCCCAGCCCTCTTGGGCTGACCTCCCCTACAGCATTTTAATCATGGGATGTTTCCTCTGAATCCTTTGGAATCTTCTCTCCTAAAATCTAGAGTTCACATCACATTCCATCCAGCTTTCCTTCCTGCTCTCTCACAGGCTCTAAGAGGGAATGGTCACTTTCCCCCAAGTTTCCCATCATTTCCCCAATCAGATCCAGAACAGAGTTACCCCTTGTTGATTCTTCTACCTTTGAAAGAAGAACTTTTCAATAAGTGACATCTCCTCTTCTTCTAGTAGAGAGGGAGCTCCATTAAATGTCTGGATAACTGAAGTCTTCCATGACTCCTGTAATATCTATCTCTGTGCCAGGCTTATGGTTGGCAATTCTGCATCTATATCCTCTTTATGCCTAGGTGGTCTATAGCAGGGCTTCTTAAACTTTTTTTACTCATGACCCCTTTTCACCCCTTTTCACATTTTTGGCAGCATTTACTGGCATGCACAGTGCAAAGTGCACATGCTTTGTGCTCAGAACCAAGGCTGCAGTGAAGTTACCCCATGCAACACAGGCAAGCCAGAAACACCTTGGATTCATTATGCATTTGATTTTCAATTAATTTTTCATTGTTTTGCATTCAGTTTAAGAAGCACTGGTCTATAGCATACTCTGATGACAAAAGTATTCCTGCTTCTGTCCCCATGGATAGTCAACCAAAATCTCTCTACCATACCTGCCCTTCTTTGATTCCTAGATTTCCTTACATAGAATAAACAGGGTGTTTCAAAAGTCTTTGTGCAGTTTTAAGTTTTGATAAATTAAGGAAACATGATAGGTAAAAAAGTGTGTAGAGATGTGGTGGCTACTGATGTACATTAAGAAGATATACAGGATATTCCAAAAAATCTTAGTGTAGAACTGCATACTCACAAACACACACACACACACACACACACTCACAACTGAATCAGAAGACATTATTCCATTCCCTCTCCCCCAGAGCGGCTGACCTTTGACATCCAAGCGGAAGGTGACCTTCTGGCCCCTGGCCTCACAGGTGTACTCCCCAGCATCTGCCTTCCCTGCCTGCTGCACCACCAGCTGCCGGCCCTGGCCCTTGGCCTCCACATGCACCTTCTGGCTGGGGCTTAGCTTCTTCCCATCCTTGTACCAGGTCACCTCTGTCTGGGCCTGGGCCAGCTCGCAGCTCAGGGTGGCGCTGCTACCAGCCATGACCTGTACCTTGTTCACTGTCTGCTGTTCCTTGGCAAACACAGCCACAGATTCTGCAAAAGGGATCAAACACAGAATCAAGAACACAGGATCCTAATTCATTTCACAGAAAGCAAAGTTATGGAGATAAGTTTTGAGTCCAGAATGCCCTAATGGCAGACATTGGTACTTCCTGCTGAAATGTGAGACTACAAGGCCACTGTAACTATCCAGACAAAAAAAGAAAGAGATGAGTTCTGGGAACACAAGTGTGGGAGCCCCTGATGTGGGAGAATTTTCTGAGGGCCAGATAAGAGAAACAAGGGGAGAATCCCAGGGCCAGAACTATGATGCCAAAAATTCTAAAAATGTTACAAAGTAAGAGGCTAGTAGGGATGATTCATAATAACGAGAATGGTAATGGTTAGCATTTATATAGTGCTTTAAGGTTTGCAAAGTACTTCATAAATATTATCACAGTCTATCCTCACAACAACCCTGGGAAGTAGGTGCCATCCCCATTTCACAGATGAGGAAAATGAGGCAAAGTAACTTGCCTAGGGTCATACATCTAAGTAAATGTCTGAGACCAGATGTGAACGTAGGTCTCCCTGACTCCAGGTCCAGTGCTCTATCTACTGAACCATCTAGCCGCCTCACTCAATTCCTCAATTTCCTGTTTTGTGAAATGAAAGAATTTGTCCAGGTGATCTCGAAGATCCCCTCCAGAATGGACATTCTGTGCTCTATGACTACTGTCTGTGGCAGAAGGTTACTAGCGAACTATAATTCAGTCCAAAAGAACAAACATGTACTAAACACCTACTATGTGCAGGAAAGGATGCTAGGTCCGGATATGCAAAGACAAAGTGACATGGAACTATATATTGTTTTAAGTCCTTTCTCGTGAAAAGTTTCAAGTGAACAGATAGAAGTTTAAAAGAAAATTGTTGTGGGAACATATTTTATTTTATAATGGGAAACAATAAGAAAATTTGCTCTGCTCCCATAGAATGAATCCAACTTTGCTTGAATAAATCTGTTCCATAAGGTGAAGACTCTCTGTACTATCTTCCTGGTTTGTTTTACATGAAAAGGCTGGAGAGGCTGCTGGTTGTGTTAATAATGGGTTAAATGCCTGGGTTGGGAAGAGCAAGAGAAGTACACAGGATGAAGACATGGCTGGGGGTCTGGGCGGGGAAGTGGACAAAGTGTTGAGTTTGAAGTCAGGAAGACCCAAGTTCAAGTGTGTGGCCTTGGGCAAGTCACTTACCTTTTCTCAGACTCAGTTTTCTCATCTATAAAATGAGGGTGCTCGACCTGGCAGTGGCTACAAGAGTTGTCATCCTATGAGCAGCCCCGAAGTTTCCAGGTTATTTTCCACTGCTGCCATCACCAACATGACACATTATGAGACTCCCCCCACTCCAAAAGGCCACTTACCTTTGATGCTGAGGCGGAAGGTGACTTTCTGGCCCCCAGCCTCACAGCTGTACTCTCCAGCATCTGCTTTCCCCACCTGCTGCACCACCAGCTGCCGGCTCTTGCCCTTGGCCTCCACATGCACCCTCTGGCTTGAGCTGAGTTTCTTCCCATCCTTGTACCACGTAACATCTGTCTGGTGCTGAGCCACCTCACAGCCCAGGGTAGCATTTTCCCCAGACACCACCTGCACCTTATTCTGTCCCGGCTGCTCCTTGGCAAATACTGATGAGGGTTCTAGGGTAGGGGGTTGGGAAAGAAAAGAGGTAACATTACTAAGTGGCCCGAGACCAGGTCAGGTTCAGACCTCTGCCTATCTCCCTCCCCCCTATATCATTCATGTCTTATGTCCTTTCCCAAAAAGATCCAGCACATTGCCCCCCAGCTCACCCCCACTCCCAAACTCTGCTCAAGAATGGGAAAAGGGGGAAATAGAGAAGCTTGGGCCTCCTGGCTCTTTCTCCCTATAATGTCATCCTCTTTTTAGAACCCATTGCCTCTTCCTTACTTGACTTAGGTCTGCACCCGCAGGAATAATTCCATTCCATACATTCTGATTTCAACAAATAGTAAGAATCATAGAGATAAAAAAGGACTTAGTATAAGTAGATGTAGGGATAGAAGGGATCTTAATTTAACACACAGAAATGTCAGAGATGGAAGAAATCTTAGATCCCAGAACATAAAATGACAGGCCCAGAAAGAAACTTAGGGACCAGCCAGTCCAATGCACTCATTTTGTAGATGAGGAAACAGAAATTCAGAGAGGGAAAGAGAAAAAGAACAGGTGATCAGAGGCAGGGCTGGAAGCAGGTCTGAGGGACTTTAAATAGCTGTGTATGAACAAAGAATCTGACAGGACCCCTCAACGCAGTGGATCTGGCTGGAATGGAATCCCCTTCTTTTTATCCTCTCTCCCCCATTCGGATTGCGGTTTCCTTGGTTTGAGGGGTGGGAAGGAAGCACATTCTGCTGAAGTCATTGATTTAATGAGATACCAAGGACAGCAAAGACATTAGACATTGCAGGGGAAGTTAACTCGCAGTCTACCCCACAGCTACTCCTATCTATTCACATGCTTATCTGCCCATTGCGTGCTTAATTACTCTTAGTAATAGCTGGTTTCCCTGCTTTCAGCCCCTGAACTGATTTGGCCCAGGGGGCCACAGGCTAAGAAAGCAAGAGCTGGTTGAGAAATTAGCCACCTGCCCAAAATGAGGCCTGTTCGCTAGATCCTTTCATTAGAAGTAAGCTCCTTGAGGGCAGGAACTGTTTTTGGTGTTTTTTTTTTAATTGTATCCTGAGAACCTGGTACATAGTGAGGGGAGAGTAACAGAAACAGGACCCGTGATTAATAATAGTAATCATTACAACCATAATAACACTTTAAGGTTTACAAAGTACTTCATATATGTTAACTCCTTTGATTTTGATTTGATTCTGTTGGTATAGGGACCTTCTTGGGTGAGGAAACTTGCTCTACCAATAGAGTTCAGGACCTTCTCTGCACCTATAGTTTTAAGCTAGCTTCCCAGAGTCCTGAGTGCTTAGGAAATTTGCCCAGGGTCACACAGCCAGTATGTTTCAGAGATAGGACTCAAACTTAGGTCTTCCTGGCTTCAAGGCTAGCTCTCTATCCATTGGACCACAATACCTCTAGCACATAGTAAGGGTTTAATCAATGCTTACTGATTAATTGATTGATTGAACCTTTCCCAGGAGGGAAAGGAAGGGTGGCAGCCCGGGCCCTTGGACCACCTCCCTTTTATCCCCAAGGACCTTCTCTGTCTCCCTCTTACCTTGGACCCGGACGTGGAAAGTGACATGGTCATCCCCAGCATGGCAGCTATAAGTGCCCTGGTCACTGTGGGTCATCCGGTGAAGGATGAGGGTCCGCTGAGTATCCTGGGTGTGGATCTCTGTCCTCTGGTCCTTCTTCACCTCTTTCTGCTCCCTTTTCCACACCACAGTCCCACCAGCCTCAGACACCTCACAGACCAGCTCCAGTTGTCCCCCAGGGCTGACAATCACCTCAGGAGGTGATGCTGGCTTGTTGATAAATTTCACTGCTTTATCTGTGGGGGTGAGGAAGAAAGGAAGGAGGTGTCAAAGAAGAGGAACCCCTAAGTGCTACAGAAGGGTCCAGAGGTTGTTCTAACAGCCAGACCATCACTCCCCATCACTGGGTGGAGCTGTTAAGTTACAATAGCTGGGACAGCTAGGTGGCACAGTGGATAGAGTGCTGGGTCTGGAACCAGGAAGACTCATCTTGCTGAGTCAAACCTGGCTTCAGACAGTTATTAGCTGTGTGACCCTGGACAAGTCACTTAACCCTGTTTGCCTCAGTTTCCTCATCTGTAAAAAAAAAAAGAGCTGGAGAAGAAAATGACAAACCACTCCAGTATCTCTACCAAGAAAACCTCAAATAGGGTCACAAAGGGTTGGACGCAACTGAAACAATGGAACAACAACAGCTGGGCTAAAACTTGAATAAGAATAGAATTGAGTAAAAAAAAATAAATAGAAAAATTCAACTCAACAAAACATTTATTAAGTGCCCACTAAGTGCAAGGCTCTATGTTCTCAAGCACCGGGGCACAAAGACAAAACACATAGCATTGAGAGCCAACATAGAGCTGAAGTTGGGGTTCAGAAGACTTGGGGTTCAAGCCCCCCCCAACACATTTTGGCTCTTGCTAATAAACCATAATCTCTCAGTATGCCTGGATCACTCTCTAAGACTTTAAGTTGCAGAGTGGGTGCTGATCAGTACAGAGATGAATAAATGAAACCATTCCTGACCTCCAGGACATTCCATTCTACTGAGAGATATGGCCTAGACACAGGTAAGTGTAATGAGCACAAGGTAGGGTTAGGGTCAGGTTCGGTCAGGTTAGGGAAGTGAAGGAGAGATCAAAGTGTTTGAGGAAAATATGAGGAAGGAGTGAATAAACAACACTTTCAGCTAGAGGAATCAGGGAAGACTACTTGGAGGAGATGAGCCTTGAAGGATGCTGACCGGTAGAGGTGAGCAGCACATGCACTCCACAGGCAGGTTGAGTTCGACTGAAACGGAGAGTGTGTAAGGTGAGGGACTAGGAAAGGGGCCTGGAAAGGTAGGCGGGACACAAACTGGGAAAGAATAGAGTGTCCCCGAACAACAGTGACCTCTCTTGCGCCATCACAAGCAGGTTGCTACATAGGCCCAGAGGCACCCCCAGCACCTATTATTATCATCATCATTATCCACCCTACGACTATACCCTGAAGACTTCCAGGACTTCCTATCTGCCCTACAGCTGAACTTTCTTTCATGCGTCTAGAAGGTCAGGGCTGTCTCGATTTTTTCTGTTTGTATCCTAGCACTTTGTACAGAACTTAATACATAGTGCTTAATAAATGCTTTTTCATTCAATCCAAATACAATAAAATGTGGTACCTAGAACTAAACATAATCCTCCAGCTGTATGCTTATTAGAAAAAAAGGTAATTCAACTTAAATCACTATAACCTGGCACTCTGTGTTTTGAGAATGGGAGGCCACAGGAGGCACTAGATCCCACAGATTTGGAGTGATAGGACCTGGGTTCAAATTCCAATTCAGTACCAGTGGATAGAACTTTGGAGCTAGAATCAAGAAGACAAGTTCAAATGTGACCTCAGACACTTACCAGCTGTGTCCCTAGGCAAGTCACTTAACCTCTGTTGGCCTCAGTTTCCTCCACTTTAAAAGCGGGGATCATAACAGCTCCTATCTTACAGGGTTGTTGTGAGGATGGAATGAGATAATATTTGTAAAAGCACTTAGCACAGTGCCTGGCACGTAGTGGGAGCTCTATAAATGTTTATTCCATTCCGTTCCAGACATGACTTTTCTTGGGCCAGTCACTGAAACCCTCTGGGCCTCAGTTTCCTCACCTGTAAAATGAGACTGTAGGAGTAAACGACTTGGAGGTCTCTCCCCACCCTAAATTTATGTTCCCATGACCTTCTGTTAATACAGCCTGAGCTGGCATTTGCTATATGGCCGATGTCTCGTCCTCACCTGAGTACTGAGCTTATGTTATGTCATGATATGTCACATTATGTCATATGACATCATATTAGGTTATGTTATATTACATTATATCATGGCATGCCATGTGATATCATATCATATTATATTATGCTTGCTGGCCACTCAGATACCCAAGTCTTTTTCATCTGAACTACTTTCTAGCCATCTTTCCCTCATTTGGTACTGGTGCAAGGGACTTTTGGGAACTTCATATTTATCCCAGCCGTTTTTCATTTCATCAGATTCGGGTCATCATTCCAGCCTGGTGAGATCTTTTGGGATTCTGATTTGCCAGTTTCTCTGTGTCTTTCCCAGTCTACCTTCTATTAAACTCCCCTTACTTTTATATATGTCATATCCCTACCCCCCCCAGACTGTAAACTCCATCAGGTCAGGGATTACTTGATTTTTCCTTCCTGTATGCCCGTTGTCACCACCTTCTGCTCACCCGAAACGTGTCACAGTGCTTTTCACATAAACGTTTATTCTGTGTCGAACTGAACTGAACAAAAATAAATTAAATCAAATTTAATTGAAGACACCTTTACAACAGTCATCCTCCTGAGCTCTTCTTTTAAAGGGGTCAGTCATCTTGTGCCACCGTCACCCCTATCAGACTTCTCTGGCCAGAAGGAACCTCCTAATGTCACCTAGCTTGTCCTCTTGCCTTTACATCAATAAGAATATATTTTATCAGTCACCATATTCCAACTGAGGATGAGGAAGCTGGTGGTCTATTTCATTTCCAGTGAAAGCCTTCTTCAGTCACCTCCGCCTCTCCTTAAAAATCTCTTCTGCCAGGAAATCCTTTCTCTCAAGTCTAACCGCAGTCCTTTATGCTGCATCCTAAGCCCTTTTCCCTCTTGTTGAATCTCCCATGGAGACTGAAAATAGCTGCTTGCCTTAAAATAACAGTCCTGCCAGGCTCTTCCTATTTCAACCCTACCCTCCCAACCTTCCACTCCACCCCCCCCCTCCCCGAGCCTGGCTCCAAGGTGACAGGTCAGTCAGCTGATGGGATTGTGTTTCTAATGGTTTCTCTTTTCTGATTCCCTCTAGGGCCTTCTCAGCTATCCTGGGAAAAGGTCTTCGGTGACACAAAGTAACAGGTGGGATGGGCCAAAAAGCAGAGCTGACCATAGAGAAGGTGGGTGAGCTGGACGCCACCGGCTTGGGGCTGGAGGGCCAAGGAATTAGGAACCAGGGGCCTGGTGGCCCACTCTGGGGGCCTGGGAGATCTGTCAACGTTGCCTTCAGTGAAGTGGCGTCCCATGTTTAAAAGCCCTTTCTATGAGTTTAAAGATTCTATTCAAGTTTTATATTTGGTTTGGTTTCTATTTGATTCTTTTCTTTTTCTAAAAAGCAGTTTTGGATCAAAGTTCAAGCTTCTAAAACTCTCCAAATTCTGTGAGGGAGACAGGTTACTCCTTATTAAGGAGGCCTGTTGATTCACATTAATCATGAAACACTGTAGATGGCAGCTATCTGGGAAATGGGAAGATTTCTCCTTCCTTTGAGTGAGTAAAATTACTGCCCCCCTGCTGATTGGGAAGAAAGTCATCTGGCAGAGAATCTTGTCTGAGAGAAGACTAACACAGAAGATAGAGTATGACTATAAACTTCAGATTACGGCATCTGTGGGGAAAGAGGCAAGGGAGAAAGGGGAACAGGAGAACCTATAGAAATTACAAAAGTAATCACAAGACTAGCTTATTAATTAGCTGTATAAATAAAAATTCGTATAGAGCTTTAAGGTTTGCAAAGCACTTCACAAGCATTATCTTGTTTGATCCTCACAAAAACCTGGGAGTATATTATCCCCATTGTAGAGATGAGGAAAACTGAGGCAGGAAGAGGTAAAATGACTTGATCAGGATCACACAGCTAGCTAGTAAGTGTCTGAGGGTGGATTTTAACTTGGATCTTCCTGACTAGCTTGCAGCACCTCTCCACTGAGGTATCTAACTGCCTTTGAATTCTTTTCTTTTCTTTTATTTTATTTTTGGTTAGGCAATGGGGTTAAGTGACTTGCCCAGAGTCACACAGCTAGTAAGTGTCCAGTGTCTGGTCTGAGGCCAGATCTGAGTTCAGGTCCTCCTGATTCCAGCGCCAGTGCTCTAACCACTGCGACACCTAGCTGCCCCTGCCTCTAAATTGTTGTGGCTGCCATCTGCAATTCTTGTGGAATGACAACAGGTGTATTTACCCAACTGAGTCGTTACATCATGGCAGCTAGGAAAAATAGTTTAGAAGCATTCTAACTCTAAATTCCAGGACAGTCAGCATTTTGGAAGTAGAAAGAGGAACAGGGAGGGGGAGGAGAATCAGGGTAAAAGTAAGCTGTTCTGTTTAAAGAACAGCAGGAAAAAAAAAACTGAATCATGCCTTTATCAATTTGAGTTTGATTTCTTTAAATCTTGCTCCATAGGAATGTTTTTTTTAAATTATATTCTCTGTACTGTTATTAGACTTTGCTATTCTAACATAGCAGGGTGGTGATTAGGGGAACCTCAGATCTATTACATGCCCTATTCTTCTTGATGAGAGGTTTCAGGATGGATATCTTTGTCAGAAAGAGGCACCTCTCCTTGAGCAAGACACGAGGCTCCAATTCCTTGCTGAAGGACACAAACTGTAACCCCCTCCTCACCTTGCTGGAAGTCCAAGGAAGAGAATGCCCTGGCAAAGAATCTCAAAAGTAACAGACTCAGAAAAGAGACTGATACTGTTTTTACAACTCAATTGAAAGTCCACCCTCATGCTTCTTACTGGCCAATTCTTCAACAGAAACATCACAATGAAGGGACTTCAAGGGACCAGTAAGGAGTTGCAGTTTCATTACAACTAGGCTTATGTCCCTCAACAAAGAAGCAGACAGACCACAAGTCCAGTTCCATGGGAGGTGCCCTTTTCTGACAAAGATACAAACTTTGTAATCTCCTCAAGAAGAATGGGGCATGTAAATGATCAGAGGCTCCCCTCATAAACACCCCGCTGTATTGATCAGGGGTTCCCCAGGTTAACCTCCTCTCACATTAATAAGGATGAGGTTTTTTTTTCATTCTTATTTTAAAAACATAATTGATCAGAAAAGCATGCTAAGTGTCTCTCTCTCTCTCTCTGAGTTAACTATGATATAATCATGGTTGGTAGGATGACAATTTCATAACTGAGTCACTATTGGTCCCATGATAGCAGTATACCCTAGTGGTGGCAAAAGTGTATCTGAGACGGGCAGCTAGGTGGTGCAGTGGATAGAGCTCCGCCCTTGGAGTCAGGAGTACCTGAGTTCAAATCCAGCCTCAGACACTTGACACTTACTAGCTGTGACCCTGGGCAAGTCACTTAATCCTGACTGCCTCACCAAAAAGCCAAGAAAAGAAAAAGTGTTTCTGAGATAAAATAGTCTTGACTGCTAAGCTTCTAAAACTAAGTGATTGTGCAAACCCCATGATCCCCAACATATCTAAATCAGTCTGTCTATCCCAAATTTGGAGTCCCTCTATGGTAAAGGTAGGCTATGTGTTTGGCACTCTTTACTACGCTAATGCCACATACATTTACAAGATTTAAAAAGACTTCTAGATGCTGATGCTAATGGTGGTAGTAGCAGTAGTGACAATAGTAGTGGTGATGGTGGTGATGGTGATGGTGATGGTGGTGACAATGGTGGTGATGATGAGCACTTAGAATGGCGTCCACTAAAGGACAAGAATCTATGAACAACTTCTAGAAAGGAAAGGGGAAAGGAGAACAGAAAAAGAGTAGAAGAAATAGAGGAAAGTGTTGGCAGAAAACTGGAGAAGATAAAAAGGATTAAGAATAGAGAAAGGAAGGGAAAGGAAGACCAGAGACAATGGGATTCCTTCTAATGAGCCAACTCCTAATGCACTATTATAATAACCACTTGCCATACTTAGGGGGCTGGTCTCCCACCCGGATCCCTCCCTGCTTTCCTACCACTCACCAGACACCTTGAGCTTGAATTCCAGTGTGTCTTCACCAACTCTGCAGGCATACGTGCCCTCGTCCTGCCTGGTGACCATGCCCACCACCAGCCGGTGCTTTGTTCCCTTGTCTTCTTGGGAGAGGCGCTGGGAACGACCGAGTTCAGTGCCATCCTTATACCAACGCACCATCACATGGGCCTCTGACGTCTCACACTCAAACTGGGCCTGGCCCCCCAACACAGCTTCCACATATCCTCCTGCCACATCTTTGTGTAGGAAATGGACAAGATCTGAAACCATATGGTCAACAAGGTAAATATCCTGAGAAACTGAAATTAGATAAATATTAGGGGAAGGGCTGAGGAGTATGGGCAGGAGGAGAGATGAGGTTGTCATAACTGAAATACCATTAGTCACTACAGATGGTGGCCTCGCTGTTTAGAGGCATTTCTCATTTATCTCTATCACCCAAAATCTTGCTTTCAAGTGTTTATCAATATTAGAGGTCAATCAGTCCAACCTCTCACCAATGCAGGAATCTCCTGTCCTTCAATACCTGCAGTAACAGGGAGCTCATTACCTTATAAGGGAGTCCATTCCATCATGGAACAACTGTTAAAAGGTTTTCCCCTGTATTGAGTTGGAAATTTGCTTTTATACCTTATCCCCACTGCTCCTAGTTCTGTTCTCTAGGACCAAGCAGAATAATCTAATCTCGCTTCCCTAAGATAAACCCTTCAACTACTGAACCCTGAAGACACCAGTCATGTCCCATTGAAGTCTTTTTTCCTAGGCTAAACATCCCTTTGCTTCTTCAATCAAACCTCAGATGATATAGCTTAAGATCCCTTTGCTATTCTGGCTGCCCTTCTCTGGACGTGTTCTGCTCTGTCAATGTCTTTCTTAAAATGTGGCTGCCAGATCCAAACGTGGTGCATCTGCTGTGGTCTGACCCTTCCCTGCTCTGGACACGATGCTTCTCTCACTGTAGCCTCAGATCTCAATCACATTTTTAGCAGCTGGATCACATTATTGGCTGACAGTCAACAAAAATTCCAGGCCTTTTCTTATTTTTCTTATTTTATTAATTATTTATTAGTATTATCCTTAAACTTGCTTTGCAACTATTTACATTTAAATAAAATGTCATAACGTGTCTTTTCAATTACTTTTTTCTTGTGTAACCATATTAACAAAAATATTGAGAAACTAGTATTTCTCCAGTCTAAAGTCCATTCCAGATTTGCCTAGATGAAGGAAACCTTATCAGTGCTTAATTAAACTTCTTGAAAATAACTATTGTTCAGTTGTGTCCAACTCTTCTTGGAAATAATGCCTTCCAGTAAATCCTCTACACTCCTCCCCCACCTCCCTGCCCCCATTAAGCCTAACCATTTTCTTTCAGAAATTTCTGCAAAATATTAGGGACAAAGGCTAGAGTTCCAGAAAATGGATTAAAGGGGAAACCAGACTTAGATCAGGAAATACCTTAGTCTAGTTAAAGTCATTGTCTGCCTTCCCCTGTGGACCTGAATGAAAAGTTTAGAAAATGATTCTGTAGGATACCTGGACATTATAAGAGACTATTCTGTTTGATGAAGCTGTTCTCCAGAACTCTGAATTATTGCTCAAACTCAATTGTGAAATTTTCTTTCTTAAAGAATCCTATAAAATATGACTCCAAAATTAATTGTATTTGTATTCAAGAGATGCCTGAGGACACGAGGAAATTGTCAGTTTGGACAACTCTCTCTAAGTAAAAATCATTTTAGTTAATAAAATGCTTCTGATTAGGCTTGTGCCCCAAATATAGGCTGTGGTGTTTTTTCTTTGACCCTAATAAATCTCTGGGCAGCCAGTTCTGGACTCAGAAAGACCCAAGTTCAAATCTGGCCTTAGCCACTTCACTATTCAACTGACCCTGGGCAAGTCACCTTAAAAACACCTCTGTTTGCCTCAGTTTCCTCATTTGTAAAAATGGAGATAATAATGGCACCTATTTCCCCTGTTGTGGTGAGGATCAGATGAGATAATAATTGTAAATGCTTGGTACATAATAAATGCTATATAAATGTTAGTTATTATTATAAAGTCCTCCCCATAAAAGTCATATGAGGTAGGTAGATAGGATTATTAACCACATTTTACAGAGGAAGAAACTGAGGTTCAGAGAGGATGAGTAACTTGTCCAAGACTCACCCAGCTACAGCTCGGATTTGAACCCAAAGCTCCCGACTCCAAGTCCAGAGCTATGTCTCTCACACCACAGACTTTGAAAGGTAGGTTTCCTGCAGGTGGGGAGGGTTGGTTCGGGGCAGGCTCAGGGCAGGGGGTACGGAGTGGAGGCCACATCTCAAGAGGACACTCCTGGGGCTGGGAGGCCCTTCTGGCGTGGAGGAAGCCGTCCCCAAGCCCGGTCCCACCCCAGCCCCGCGCGCACCTTGCACAGAGAGCTGGTAGGCAATGCGGTCCCCGGGACTGAGACACTCATAGAGGCCCGCGTCATCCCTGGCCACATCGCGCACCCGCAGCACCCGCCGCTGCTCCGTGGCCTGGAGCTCATACTTGGGCCCGCTGGGCAGGGCCCGGCCATCCTTCAGCCACGTCACAGCTGCAGCCTGGTCTGAGAGCTCGGCCAAGAGCTGGGCCTCCTCGTGCAGGCGGGCCGAGATCTTCTGCACCGCGGCCGCCGACTTGTTGGTGATGCGCACGGGGGCAGCTGGGAGAGCCAGCGGGCAGACACAGAGAGAGGGGTTGGGGGGAGGGGGGGGGCCCGGCCAGGGGGGAGAGACAAAAGAGGGGCAGAGTAAGGAGGGGGAACAGAGGGGTCAGGGAAGGGAAGCGGGGAGGGAAGGGGAAGGGGAAGAAGAAAAGGGGGAAGAGAGGGGAAAGGGAAGGAAGGGAAGGGGGGAACAGGAAGGGGAACGGAAGAGAAGAAAGAAAAGAGGAGGGAAGGGCGAGAGGGAAGGAAAAGAGGAAGAAGAGAAAGGAAAAGAGGGAGAAAGGAAGGAAAGAGGGAGGATTTGAGACAAACTATTATCTAGCTATAACTCTCTCATCTTGTACTTGTGAAGTCAGCTTCTTGAGCCAAAGTGTAAGACACTTCTCCCAATTAAATTTAATCTATTAGATGTGGCCTAAAGCCAGTTTTTGGTGATCTGCACATTTGATAAGCATTACACCTATGTATATGAGATATCTTGCACCCTTTCCTTTCCCTCATGCCCCAAATCCAGTCTTGTCAACTTTATATCAGTAATGTCTCCCATGTACATCTAGTGATGATTTACATTTATATAGTGTTTTAAGATTAATGATCTGTGGAATAAAGTGCTTTTACCTCCATTTTACAGATGAGAAAACTGAGCCTCAGAGAGTTTAAGTGACTTGCCCTAGGTCACACAGCTGGTGTATGGATTGAAACCTCTGATTCCAAATCCAGGGCCCTTTTCACTACACTTTCTATGTCCTCAGTCATCCAGAGCAGTATTCTGCACACAGTAGGCACTTAAATACTTTTGAATGGATTTAGGCCCCAGTAGGGGCTCAGGAGAAGGGACCCACAGCACATCTCCCTGAAGCCAGGTGCATCTGTGTGTTGGGAAGGTGTTTTGAGGCCTACCTTTAACCTCCATCCGGATACTGCTCTCTATGCCATTGGCCACAAATTTGAGCTGGGCACCGTCCAGGTTGGCGGGGACCGGGCTGATGGTCAGGGAGTGTTGAGTGCCTTTGCAACGAATCACATATATGTCACTGACTGGCAGGGCTCGTCCATCCAAGAACCACTCGCCAGAGGAAGCCACAGTGAGGTCCACAGTGAAAGTCACCTCACCACCAGCTACTGCCTCGACAGCTCGCAGGGGTGTCTTTACAGCCAGTTGGGGTTCTGTGGGGAAATGAGAAGGACCATAGGTCAATCCTGGGAGAAGCCCAGATCTGGGGTCCTGTGGACAAAAGAATGACAAGGGGAAAGCAGAGAACTACTGGTCCTCTGTGAGTAAGACTCACCCCACACCCACCGGTTCTCCCCACCCAATCTCAGCTAATTTGTGTTCTTCCACAACCTTCAAAGCCTGGATCCAAGCCACCACTGCCCCCTGAGGGGGTCCATGGATAGAATTTTGGGGGCCTGTGAACTTGGATGGGGAAAAATTACATCTCTATTTACTTAATTTCTAACCCATAACAAAAATTTAGCATTTCCTTCTATTATGAATATACGTGACAAGATGGGACTCTGAGAAGGTATCCACAGGGTTCACCAGATTATCAAGGGGGTCCAGGACACAAAAAAAGCTAAGAAACCTCGATCTAAAATATGCCAGCTCTGTAATGGACCCAAGAAGGCTAAAGATGCCCTCCAAGTGGTGTCCCAGGGCAGGAAGGGCTCTGAGATCTTCCCTCCTCCATCACAAACAGAGCTTCTCTCATAGAACATCAGAGAGTTGCCCTGAGCAACTCTGAGAATCCTAGCATTGTAAAGAAAGGAGGGGCCCCTGGGGCCACCCAAAGAACCAGAATACCTTCTACAATATCCCTGACAAGGGGCCCTACAGTATTGTTTGATGAGGAGCTCACTACCTCCTGGGGAGGCTGATTCCACTTTTAGACAGTTCTAATGGTTAACAAGTTTTCCTGATGTACAAAATAATGACAGCTAGCATTCATTTAGTGACTACCATGGGCCAGGCACTGTGCTAACTGCTTTACACATATTATCTCATTTAGTCCTTACAATAAAGTTGGGAGACGGGCACTATTATTATCCCCATTTTACAGTTAAGGAAACTGAGGTAAACAGAGACTAAGTGACTTGCCCAGGGTCACACAGCTAGTAAGTGTTGGAAGCTGGATCTTCCAGACTCCAGATCCAATTCTTCCATATGATAGATTTTCAAATATTTGAAGACAGCAATCGCATGCCCTCCTAATTCCTCTCTTCTCCACACCTTTCTGAAGCCCAGTTCTGTCCCCCAGCCTCTATCACCTATCAAGGAAACAAGCCCCCCCAAGAGCCTTGTGCCAGAAGAAATGCATCCTGGGACTAGGCCCCCAAGTTCCTTCTTACACACCCAAGGGGAACCAGTGTCCAAGCTCTGGGAAACTCCTTCGAGGCCTCCTGTCCATCCCCTTCTGGCGTATCTAGGCACAGTCCCCATTCCTTCTCAGCCAGGCTCTGGCTTCCCTGTTGGAGAAGGCCACCCTCGTCCTCCTGTCTCACCTCATAGAGAGGGTACCTGGCAGATTTCCAGGATGCCAAGGGAGTGAGTGGGAAGAACTTGAGGGGCCTCGAGGCCCCTGGTATGATGTCACTGGGGGTGGGGAGAAGCAGAAGCCAAGAAAGGAATAAAAACATAGGGATAATCTGAACCCCCATTTCTAAGCCTCCTTAAGGCTTACAGGGCATGTCCATCATGACAATCCTGTGAGGCAGGCAGGCTAGGGATTGTTATCTCCACTTTATGGAGGAAGAAACTGAGTCTCACAGCCATGAAGTGAGCTGCCCAGAGTCACAGAGCCAGAATTTCAGACCAGGTCTTTTGACTCCAAGTTCAGCGCTCTTTCTGCTCCCCTGCTCTGTCCTCAGCCTCCCCCCACCTTCCCCTCCTGGCTCCCCATTCACGAAGGGCCACCACACTCCCTTACCCAGGTGGATGGTCTCTGGAAACTCGAGGTAGGGGCCCTGGCCAAAGCTGTTGACGGCTGCCACTCGGAACTGATAATCTCCTGCTTCAAGCAGGCTGCTCACAGTCACCTCGAGCATGGAGACCTTCTCTGCCTCATGGCACCGAGTCCACCTCTGGCTGCCCAGTCTCCTCTTCTCCACCAGATAGCCGTCGATGGCAATGGGCCGGTCTAGCTGTGGCGGTGACCACCCAAGAGTCACAGAGCTGTCTGTTTTGGCCTTCACCACGGGCTCGGAGGGGGCTTGTGGAGGAGGCTTCCTGGGGACTGGAGGGAAGAGCACCCACACACAAACACATAGGGAAGAAAGGTGAGTGTGTAAAGGGAAGTCACTTCTGGGAAGCCCCCAGCCCACCAGTTCCCTCACCCAGCTCCAGAGACCAAGACAATGGGGCCCTTCTTACAGCTTGGGAATTCCCATGGGATGTTTCTGTGATGAAATGCAAAGAAGTTAGGAATCCAAGAATCTCAGAGCTGGAGGTCCAACCACCAACCACTAGGTCCAAACCACCCCTGAAGCAAGACTCCTCTATAGCTTCCCCAAGGGGCTTCCAGTTTGTGCTTGAATACCTCCATGGATAGGGAGTTCACTACCTCCTAAGACAGCTAGCCCATTCCACTGTGGGACTCATTTCACAATTTGAAAGGTCTTCTTCTGTCAACCCCAAATCCTTCTCTCTGTGATGTCCACTCATTGGCCCTAGTTCTGTCCTCCGGGACCACACAGAATGAATCTGCTTCCTCTTCTATATGACAAACCTTCCTTCTATATGACAGGCTTTCCTCCTTTTACGGACAAAGAAGATTGAGGCCCAGAGAAGAGCCCAAGGTTGTGAGTGGCAGAATTGAGATTAGAACCCAGGTATCCTTACTACCACATCTGTGCCTTTCCCACTAACCTGAGCTACCCTCCTGGTACTCTCATGCTGCCCTGCTGAGCAGTCCCTAACATTTTAGTGTGAAGAAGTTTAATACATACTCCTTCCCAAAGGGAACATGGAGAGCCCAGTGCCATGACCCAAAGCCGGAATGGTGGCAGCAAGAACCATGAGAAGCCAGTACAGAGGTCTAGAGAGGCAGCACAGCACAGTAGGGATGACACAGTGCTTGTCATCAGAGTAACGAGGCTTAAATCCCAGATCTGACACTCACTAGCTATGTGCCTCTGACTGAGGCACTCTCTGAGTTTGTTTCTGTGTCTGTCAAATGAAGCTAACAGCCCAGGAGATTGTCTCCTTCACTGGGCTGCCGGGAGGTAAACTCTTTGTTTCCCTCTTTGTAATAGGGGGGTTTAGGATTCAGGTTGGAGGCCCCACATCACACCAGCCAGGTAGCCAGGTCAGGTCGTCCGTGTGTGGGACTGATCACGTCTGTCCCAGGAAAGAGAAGGAAAGGTGAATGGTGCGGGTTATAGGATCATAGGACCTGGGATCTGATGGAGAGGATTACAGGTTTAGAGCTAGAAGGGACATCTACCCCAACCTCCTCATTTTACAGATAAGGAAACTGAGTCACAAGAGGGTAGTGGAAGGCAGGATTGGAACCCAAGTCTTTTGCTCCAAAGCCAGTGTTCTTTCATCATGTCACACTCAGCCATCAAGGGCTGGAGACGACCTTAAACTCCACTGAGTCCAAACCCCTCACTTTTTAGATGGGGAAATTGAAGCTGAGTCACTCACCCAGGGTCTCCCAGGTGGCGAGTGGCAGAGCCAGAATTCTATTTGAACCCAGTCTTTCCTTCTCCAAATCCAGAACTCTTTCTACCATAGCAGGCTTCTGGGATCAGTATCCAGAAGAAATCTAACATGCCTGGCTTCTACTCCCGCCCTTCCCCCCCATCTAAGGTCCCAGTTCCAGGCCTCACCGGACACAATGAACTGGGTCGAAGTCCTGCACTGGCCAGCCAGGAAGGCAACCTCCCCAGCGTCCTCCTGGCGGCACTGTTTGATGGTCAGCGTGTGGCAGGTGCCTGTGGAAGTGATGGTCATGCGGTCCCCAGCCTTGATCTCCTCTTGGTTCCTCAGCCACTGGATAGGATCAGCTGGATCTGCCAGTTCCACACAGAAGATGGCTGTGTCCCCAGTCAGTACCATGGTCTTCCTCGGGAGCTTTTTGGTGATGTTGCCTGAACAGAGCAAGCAGGGATCAGGGGAGAGGGCAGGACATTATAAACCTGCTGCCCACCACCTTGGAGGCCCCAAACACCTAATGAGCACTAGGAGCCCCTGGTGCAGCCCCAACCCCTGCCCCAGCCCATGTGGACCTGCCTTGGACAGACAGCTCAGCAATGGTCCTGCTGCCCTCCTTCATCTCACAGATGTAGACAGCATCATCATCTGTAGTGACGTTCTGCACTGTCAGCCGGCGCCACGTGCCTTCCTCCTCAATGTTGTACTTTTTGCTTTGCCTCAGTCTGGTCTCCTCCTTAAACCAACAGGCCTCTGTGGCGGGCAGAGGCACCTCACACTGGAATGTGGCGGCCTCCTTCTCCCGGACCTCGAGGTCTTGCAGCTTCTTCTTGAAGGGTACAGTGGGCTCTGGGGGGGGGGGGCACAGGGGGAGGAGGAGGAAAAGAGAAGAAAGAACAAGTAGTTGAGAGACAGACTCCAAGGCTAAGACATAGAGGGAAGCAGGAGCAAGGGAAATGCCCAGAAACTGACAAACTTGGGGGAAATGAGGGGGAGAGACATACACAAAATGAGAGGCATGAGAGTGATACCCAGAAACTGAAAGATGGAGAAGGGAGGACGGAAATATTCTCGGGAGGGGTGCAATGGGGGTTGGGGGAGGCAGTAAGGTCAGAACTGAGGAGAAGAAGACAGGTGGTTGAGAGAAATCCCCAGAACCTAAGAGATGGATGGAAGGAAGGAAGGAAGAAGGAAGGGAGGAAGAAAGGAAGGAAGGGAAAGAGAAAGGAAGGAAGAAAGGGAGGGAGGGAGGAAAAAAAAGGAGGGAGGAATGAAGAAAGGGAGGAAATGGAGAAGGAGGAAGGAAGGAAACATTTATTAAGGGCCTACTATGTGTGCTAAATGCTTTACAAACATCTCATTTTATCCTCATAACAACCCTGGGAAGTAAGTACTTTATTATCCCCATTTTTCAGCTGAGACAAGAAAAAAGATAAGGAACGTGTTGTGTGTGACCTTCCCCACTCTGCTCCTCACTTTCCTGCTCTGTAAAATAAAGAGGTTGGGCTAGAAGACTTTGTGGGTCCTTCCAGCTCTCATGGTCTGTGATCATGTGTGTGTTGCCAGTGGCTTTGTGAATCATTGGTGCTAAACTCAGCTGAGGATGGTATTTGGGGAGTTACTGTGTTCAAACAGACTCATCCACACATCAGGAATCTGACACATACATAGTGAAAAACGGGAAAAGTGCCTACTGACTGAAGCAGGGAGGGGAGGCCCTGGGGGAATGGACAGTGTGAGAAACGTCTGGAGCCTCCAAAAGGATAGGGAAGACCCCCAGTGAGGAGGGGAAGAGAGAAGATACCTTCAAAGCCCAAGGGCTCCACAGTAAGACAGACAGCGGTGGGAAGTTTGGGGAGATAAAGGTGAGTGGTGAGAGACGTTCTGAGCCTGAGAGGAGAGAGATAAGGGGGAGAGAGAAATCTTCGACTGAAGGCAGTGGGGAAGGGAGGCAGAGAAACATGGGGAGAAATTCCTGGAACCGAAGTTACAGGAAAGATCGGCACGTACTGAGTGAGATCTGAGAAAGCTGTGTTGGAGACACTCAGACACTGAAAGGAGAGGTGAATGGCTAGGAAGTGGAGAAGGGACAGAGGGAGAAGTGGGTGCTGAGAGTTCTCAGATCCTGAGAGATCGTGGCGGGGGTGCGGGGAGGCACGAGGGAGGGAGAGAGGTGATGAGAAGAGAAATGCCCAAAGACAGGAAAGAGATAAGGGAGAGACCCACACAGTTAAAGACATAGTAAAGGTAGACCGAAAATGGGCGTGGGGCAAAGGAAGAAGTGGAAAGGTGCCTAAAGCCCAAGACTTGGGGGAAATGAGGGGGAGAGACATACACAAAATGAGAGGCATGGGAGTGATACCCAGAAACTGAAAGATGGAGAAGGGAGGAGGGAAATATTCTCAGGAGGGATGCAATGGGGGTTGGGGGAGGCAGTAAGGTCAGAATTGAGGGGAAGAAGACAGGTGGTTGAGAGAAGACACAGTCACACAGAATGAGAAATAGGAGAGATAATAGGTTGGGGAGAGATGCCCACAGCCTGAGAGGGAGAAGGGAGCTGGGTGGAAAGAGATACATCCAGAGCCTGACAGACAATGGATAAAAGAGAAATAGATATCCACAAAGGGAAAGAAAAGAGAGATATGAGGGGGAGAGATTTCCAGAGACTGAAAGGGTGGGGAGATAGGGAAAGGAAGAAAGAAAAAGGGAGAGATGTGACTGGAGTATTGGTCTGAGTGTAAGAGACAATAAGAGGAGAGATACCCAGAGATTAAAAAAACAGATGAGATAAGGGGAGAGAGAAGGAGTTAGGGAAGAGGGGATGGTGAGAGAAAGCCTCGGTAAATTATATTGGGGAGAGAGAGATGGGGAGACAGACAATGCCTGAACAAGAGAGAAAGGACGCCCCCCAGAGACTCTGAGAAAGTGAGGATGCAGATCATACAGAAGGGCAGACAATACAACAGGGCAGCCTAGGGGCATTGGACTGGCGGAGGATGGAAAAGCAGGCAGATGGGCTGGAACCACTACTGCTGGTCAAGGCCCATATCCCTGAGTCCCAAGGGAACGTCCTTCCTTCCTTGACCAGCCTAGCTCACAGAGACTTTCCCTTTTCTGAACTCCTACAGGACTTGCCATCCATGGCCCATACTCTGGCTCTTGTGCTGGCGAGATCCACATTGGGGCCTCCTTTCCTCTAATTTCCCCTCCTGCCCCCTCAATCATAGCTGACTCAGGAAAGGGTTTGTTGACTAATTGGCGGATTTACTTCCATTCTCAACTGCATAGACTTTTGATTTCTTTCCCTTTGAGCCCCAAGGGCTGCCATCTCCCAGCTTCACTTCTAAGAATCTCTCCCAGCTCCTCGCACCCACATCTACGAATGCCGCTCTAGTTCAGGCCCTCAGAGAATCTCAGGGTTTGTAGAAACCTCAGAAGCCATTGCGTCCAACCTGTAATGATGTAATAATCCATTCTGCAACATCCCTACTGGGTGGTCCGTCCAGCCTGTGCCTGAAGACCTCCACAAGAGGGGAACTCTCTCACTTGCTCCAGAAGCAGCCCATTCCATGCTGGGCCAGCTCTAATTGTTAGAACGATTCTCTTTCCTTCAAGCCTCTCTACAGCTCCCCACCATTTTTGCTGTTAGTCCTGCATTCTGGGACCCAGAAGATCCAATCTAAGTCCTCTTCCACAGGACAGACCTTCACATACTTGAACCCAACCATCACCTCATCAAGCCACCTGGTGAATCATAACAACCTAATTGGTCTCATCAATCCATCCTGCATGTGCTGACTGAGTAATCTTCCTACAGAACTGATCCATTAAAACCTTCATCCTTTTCCCTCTCACCTCCTACTCCCCATTGATTCAAGTATAACTACTGATCCTGGCATTCAAGGCCCTCCACAATCTGGTGCCATCTTTCCTTTCTCATATAACTTTTCTTCAAATAATCTATGTTTTCAATTACTCTGGGCAGTCCTCCATCCCTTGTTCTGTCCTTTCTCACCTCCAGGCGTTTTCTTGGAAGATACTCCATCTACTGAAACTCTTCCCAAGAAATCCCTCGTCTGGTGGCCAACCCTGGTACAATGAGCATTAGTTAATATAATCCTGAGATAATACCCACACAATCCATCCCCATGTTCTCAAGGCTTACTCAGATCTGGCAGGTTTTGTGCTCAGCAACAGAGCTTTCTAGAGCCCAGGCTCACCTCCAAGCCCCAGTGAGGCATCAGAGGAGGAGCTGGAGTTAAATAGAGGTGTCCTCAAACAATGGGTCTTTATTTAAGTTTCTCTGTGCCCTTTCCTACTAAATACTGGATGACTGAAAGCATGTTGAAGGAGCTGCCTGTTGGTAAGAAGTATCTAGAAAGCGGATTCCAAATTCTCTACAGAAAGGCGTTGACTATTGTTGCTGGTTGAACCCTGCACCTCAAAATAATCCAAGCCATCACCTCCTTTGGCACTGAGACCCACACTTCCCATAGGGAGCAATTCGACTGCCTTTCTGAACCATTCTGGGCACATCTACAAAGTCAGAAGCGGGATTACTCATTCATGGATGAGAGATTCACCTTCCAAAAAATCTCAACAGGCTGGAAAGGCAAGCTGGAGTTAACCAGATGGGCAGAAAAAAAAGAAAGGAACAGGATACAGTAGAAAGAATATTGAACCTAAAGTCAGAAGACTTGTATTCAAATTCTGGCTCTGACACGTACTAGTTAAGTGACCACAACAAGCCCCTTTTCTCTGAGACATTGCTTCCTCCTTTGTGAAGTGATAATACTTAACCTACCTATCTCACAGCATTATAAAGAGGACAGCTCTTCACAAGCCTTAAGGTGCCATAGAAATTCGAGTTCTTACTATAAATGTCAAGTCCTGCCCTCAGACCCAAAATATCAATTGCAGAAGGAATAGCCAAAGGAGATGTATCTAAAACACATCTTAAGTGAAAAAGACCTGCTGGTTCAAGTGGATCTCAGGCTCACTATGCATCAGCTATGTAACGTGGCAGCCAAAAGAGCTCATGCTAGTCCTGTGGTCTTTTGTCTTGGTCAGGCTACATCCCAGAATGCCATGTTCAGTTAGGAATGCCACATTTTAGGAAGCACATTGACAAGCTGTGGCCAGAGGTGGCTGACCAGGCTGAGGAGCAGATTTTGTACCATCCCAAGAAAGTATTGATCGAAGGAACTAGGAATATTTAGCCTGGAGAAAAGATGACCAGAAGGAGGGGGTGTTATCACTGTTTTCAATTATTGTATAGAAAAGGAATCAGACTTTTTTCTCAAATAAGAATTGGAAAAACAGTAGAAATATCAGCTAGGTGGTATATACAATGAATAGATTACTGACCTTACAGTAAGAAAGATCTGAGTTCAAATCCTGATTCATTCACTGTGTGATCCTGGACAAGTCATTTAATCTCCCTCTGCCTCAGTTTCCTCATCTGTCAAGTGGGGATAATAATAACACCTACCTCATAGGATTGTTATGAAGCCAGAAAGATTTATATGTAGAACATTTTGTAAGCTTTAAAGTACTATATAAAATCAGCTATTATGTTAGCTATTAAATTAAGAAAGACTGATTTCAGCTCAGAGTAAAGGAAACTCACTGATTGGAGCTGCCCAGTCATGAAAACAACTACATTAAGGAAGTAACGAATTCTCCATCACATTAATTAACTAATGCTTTAAAAATGCTTATTGATCCACTGAAGTAAAAAGGCAGGGGTAGTAATCATGATCTCAGACAAAGCAAAAGCCAGAATAGATCTAATTAAAAAGATAATTAGAGAAATGACATTTTGCTAAAATCAACTATGAAGCAATAAA